GGTGTGGGGGGGGGGGGGGGGTATTTTGAATTTGGACCCATTTCAATCGCTAGCTGTCAATATTACATACTGCACCTTTAAATAGTTGAGGGATTTCCCTGTAAGCAATTAATATCTATCGCATGTCTCCATCTGCTGTTCAAAGATATTGTTGCAGTTTTGTAAAATCTTTTTCTGCCACTTAAAACTGAAGAAAAATAAAAAATAACATAGACAACAAACAATCTGGTCTGTATTTAATGTTGTGCCGGTCAGTTCAACAGAAGAGCAAAACATAAAGGGTATTGAGTAAGAGCACACATATGAAACATAAATTGTCACATATTTAGAAATAGTGCTTTTTATGTTTTGATTTTTTATTTTATTTACGCTAAGTGTAAACTGATTAACTTGTGGGATACGGTAAACCATGTAGCATTGATTTATTGTTTTGCAATTATATGAGTGCAAACTGCATGTAGAAACATTTTAAAGTATGTGAATGTGTGATTGTTACCTATTTTGAATTTTTCCAAACATTTGACAGCACTTCGGGTTTAACGTTATGTGCAAAATTTTGACAGAACCAAGAATGATAGATTCATACAGGCTACTGATGCTATTGACTTGCTGATTTATGTCAGGGAACATGACAACTGATTTAAAGCATTGTGAGAAGTACCCTATCCATAATCTTTATAACAAAAGTTGACAGATTAAACCTATAACAGATTCTTGCTTTCGTTTCCTTTTTGTAGACCAAAGCTGGAAAATGTACACACAAAAAAAGAAAAAGAAAAAAATGTTTGGACTCATTAAAAATCTTTTATGCTTACAGCAAGGCTGTATTTATTTGATCAAAGATACAGTAAAAAAATATTTAAAAACCTTAAGCATTCCGAACTTTTCGGCCGCTAGTGTAAAATGCCAATTAATGGCTGAAGTTCATCTTCGCTGGATTAACACGAGGGACTGCTTCTGGACAGTACAGTACATCTCCCCACAGACCAGAAGTTATTTATTTACGCTAAGTGTAAACTGATTAACTTGTGGGATACGGTAAACCATGTAGCATTGATTTATTGTTTTGCAATTATATGAGTGCAAACTGCATGTAGAAACATTTTAAAGTATGTGAATGTGTGATTGTTACCTATTTTGAATTTTTCCAAACATTTGACAGCACTTCGGGTTTAACGTTAGGCTATATGTGCAAAATTTTGACAGAACCAAGAATGATAGATTCATACAGGCTACTGATGCTATTGACTTGCTGATTTATGTCAGGGAACATGACAACTGATTTAAAGCATTGTGAGAAGTACCATCCATAATCTTTATAACAAAAGTTGACAGATTAAACCTATAACAGATTCTTGGGGTGTCAACTCTGTGGGAAAGTTTTTGCTGTTTAATTCCTTTTAGTTTTGTTGTATCTGGATCCTATTGTAACTGGATTGTGAGGCTGCAGTGTCTTGGTGTTGGCGTATAATTTGTAAAATAATTGGTTTCTTATGCGTTAATCATTGATGATCATTGTATGTGAACTTCACAACAATTGTAATTAGTAAGGAGTGTCATCTCTGATCGAAAAAAAACTGCGTTTACGTTTTACTGTTGGCCCTTTGCAGAGAGGCTACGTTATTTAATACAGTATAGTTTACAGCACACACAGTAACAAACATTATGTTGTTACTTCACGGTAACGAATGGTCTGCGCAAATAAATAGTTTTAACATTTAAAAGGCTCATAAGATAATATGCTTTTGCTGTACCATTTACACAAAAGCTTTAAAGCATTACAGATCACCACTCCTTTATAAATTGGATTTTGCAAACTAGTTCTGCCAGAAAAGCTTGATTTCTTGACACCGTCAGTGCAGTTTTAGTTAGTGACCGTGGATAATAATCATCACAATGATGCTGGCAGAATTTACCTTATGTAATGCTATTAGGTTTTGCACTGGAGCTCACCCTGTTTGCTGGTGAATCATGTGAATCTGATGTCTATTGTACATATTTTAATAATACATAGATTACAAGGTTAGCTGTCTGCAAAAGTGCATGCGTACACAACAACACATATTGTACTTTTTAAAGAGATTAAACAAAGTTTGACATCTTTTTCTATAATATTAAATTGGAAAGAAACATGACCATGGTCATGTGGCAATTTGATCATTTAGCCTGAAATGCACCTGCTTTTGTGAAACTTTTTTCTTTTTCTCCAGAGAATGTGAACAGGAAGGCAGTTAGGGAGAATGTGAAACCAGGATGGCACTACTTTGGCAGAAAAATGGCAAGTATATTAGATCCTTTATCTCTGTGAACATGTTTAAAAGCCACCACTAGATGTATTTGTTTGAGGCCTTCACTATTTTGAATGACCAGTAGGTTTGAGCAGATGTATTTGTGGTGTGTTTTTCCCCCCACATATCTTTTCTTCTATAATTTCTACTGCACTCTATTTTTTCTTTGTCTTACTGTATTCTATTTTTATTTTAGTTTTGAAATTACAAAAATAAAACACACTGTGGTTTATATAGCTACATACTTTATAAATGCATTTTGATTTGATGTACTGTATATTACATACATGACTTTATTTCGCTTGACTTTAATCGCTTCCTGTGACTGATTCTCTCTGTCTCTTCAGGATGCATCAGATTTTGAATGGGTAATGTGGTTTACCACTTTCCGCAACCATATCCTGTTCGCCCTCTCTGGTCATGTGATCTTTGCTAAGATCTGCTCAATGGTGTCTCCAAAGGTACTGTATGGGGTTATTCACCTTACGCACAATTATCAAGTCATTTAAGATTTAAGAGTGATATTTTGCTATTGATATTTTCTGTGAGTGTTTTGTGAATATTGCATGATTTTATGTATTGACTGAATCTGAATAATCAATAATAGCAAAAAAAAAAAGTGTTTGATATTAACAATGCATGTGTTAAATGATCTAATTTGAGTGTTGTGTGAAATGTTACATGCTTTCGTGTTTCTGTCTGCTTTCCAAGAAGACTGGTATAGACTTATTCAAGGTAACTCTGAAAGTACTTTTCATTACATATTTTTTTTGATACTAGTACTGCTACAACTTGAGCTAATGCTTGACTATTTTGTCACTTCTAACACTAGAAACAGTTGCTGCTTAAGTCCAAAAAACTCCATTCAATATTGTTGTATGTGGCATCTGGATTAAATAAATGTGTTTTTTTCCTAAACCACAGAACAGATCTTTGATCTATATGCTGTATGGATCTCTGGCTGTGCTGATTACTATGGGATGGACATACATCTCTCTCATCCTGTCTCACTGCATCATCCTCTACAGCGTGGCCCTTGTCAAGAGAAAGTGGCTCTGCTTTGTGGCTGGAGTTACCAGCCTGGCAACGTTCAAAATGGAACCCCTTAATACCTGGCAGGTGAGAAGGTCTATAGCCAGTGAATTAGTATTCCTCTATTGTGATTTACAGTTATTGAATTGAACTGAATCAACACTGAACTGACTTGAGCTGAATAATGGCACTAATTGTCTATGTAGAGCTGCTTTTTGTCTCATATTTGAACAAGTTTGCATCATTGATTCTATTATTTTCCTGTTTACTACTGTGAAGCTGCTTTGAAACCAACTTTATTGTGTAAAGTGCCATATAAACAGTAACATTTTAAAAACCTGAAGTTGTGAATTAATAGTATACATTCATAATGTGTGTATCGTTACAGCAGTTTGAATATTGTTTGTGTTGTTTTTTTATAACCGTTATATAATATATTTTCCCCCACAGTCTAGCCACAAGTCCCCCTGTGGTTCAAGTGTCCCATGTGTATGTGCAAACGCAGTTAGTTTTGTCATTTTGATGTTCTGATAATTTGTATGTTTTGATGCAGGAAGGCTTTGTGACAGGCTCTTTTGATCTCCAAGATGTCCTGTTCTACGGAGGCTGTGGATTTTCCATTATGCGCTGTATGAGCTTTGCCCTAGAGAACTGTGAGAAGAAAGATGGTAACTACAGTTTCATGGATCTGATCAAATACAACTTCTACCTCCCCTTCTTCTTCTTTGGACCTGTCATGACCTTTGATCGATTCCATGAGCAGGTGAGTCCTGTACTTCAAGAATCTTATAACTTCCTAATATTATTCTCAAGAAAACAAGCATTTTAAAGGTCCAGGGGCCAGTTGCATAAACATAGCCACTAAGTTAAGATTGTGTCTTAAGAACTAGTTTGACCAACTAGCAGTTAGCCAAGAGGAATCAGTCTTACTTTTCTTATTCAAACTGGGTTCATCTACCTTTTTGTAACTGACCTTAAAAAGTTATGACCAGTCTTGAAGAAAACAAATTGGATGACTAATTTAAGACTAGTCTAAGCAGTTTATGCAACCGGCCCCAGTTTATGGAATCTTGTAATAGTTTATAGAACATAATCTATAGAATAGAATAAGTAATTGTAATAGTGTTGATAATGTCATTCTGGTTAGGTATGCACTTTAATGATCCCTCTAATATTCTCAGGCTAACAACCCTAACTTGACACGTAAAGAAAGAGAGATGTGGAACATCACCATTCATGCTTTGGTGCACCTTGGGGCTATTTTGGTGGTGGATGTCTTCTTCCATTTCTTGTACATTTTGACCATCCCTAGCGATTTGAAGCTTTTGAAGCAACTGTCTGACTGGTCTCTGGGTCAGTAAATAGCTAGAAAAAACTGTAGATGTTTAGAAATTATGTTACAAGTAGTTTCTAATTATTCGTAAGTACAATTTAATTTGTTTACTATCACTACAGTCTGATTTTTTTTTTTCAGCTGGCTTGGCGTACTCCAATCTGGTGTATGACTGGGTGAAATCAGCCGTCATGTTTGGTGTCATTAACACTGTATCCAGACTGGACCATCTTGACCCTCCTCAGCCTCCTAAATGCATCACAATGCTCTATGTGTTCGCTGAAACGTAAGTATAGTCATCAACAGAAGAGAAATGGAGAAAAGGAAAAGTATGTTTTTGGAAGCAGTTGATGTATGTGTAACCAGATCACTTCTTTACAGTTTCTTCTGACATTGACTTTTTCAGACACTTTGACAGAGGAATCAATGACTGGTTGTGCAAGTGAGCAAATAACCAATCCCATCTGTATATCATGACATGTATCATTTTAATATATATTACTATATCAATCAAATACTCAGGAACATTTTTCAGCTTTATAACACGTATCTCCTGTTCTGTTAAAGATATGTATATGACTATATCGGAGAAAACCATGATGCCATCTTCAAGGAGCTTCTTGCAACCATTTGCACCTTTGCTGTCACAACTCTGTGGCTTGGACCTTGTGAGCTGGTTTACATCTGGTCTTTCTTTAACTGCTTTGGCCTAAACTTTGAACTGTGGGTGGCTAAATTATTTTCTCTGCCACCGTTCTCCACTATTGAGGTAAGATCCCAAAGACGTTCAGTTGTGAGGAATTTGAGCATTTGGGTTTTGAATCATTGCACTACCAATTGATTCTCTTTCAATATTACATCATGACTGAATAGCATGCATTTCACTGATATGAAAATAACAGCATTCAGTTCTGAGTTCAGCCAAAATGTAATATACATTTTTTTCCAGCGGAATCTTATGTCTGAGGCAATGTCACGTCGAATCAGGGGCTTGTTCAATGCTGTTAACTTCTGGCAAATTATTCTGTACAACATCCTGGCACTGAACAGTCTGGACTTTGCTCAGCTGGTTGCTAAGAGACTGCTTCTTAAAGGTAAGTGTTTTGTTTTAAACCATTATATAATGAATACAGAAACAAAAGTAGCTAGAATCTTGTGCAGAATGTTTCTTACATACGCAATCTTTCTTACATATATAAGTCACTTATATATGATGTGTGTGTGTGTATGTATATATATATATATATATACATACATACATATACACAAAATTATTGAAATATGAAGTACAAAATATACAGCACAAAAACGCCATAGTAATAGCACCCTTGTGATTCCTTCAGGCTTCCCCTTGTCCACTCTCTCGGTGCTGTTTGTGACTTACTGTGGCGTGCAGCTGATAAAGGAGAGAGAGAGAAGGCAAGCTCTGCTGGATGATCCGGAACCAGTGCCGCCCCCAGAGGAGAGCAAACAGAAGGCCGAGTAAAGGACAGAGAGGTCATTGAATCTGATCCAGCTCTTGAGGTCCCTCTTGTTAATTCTGCCCCTGAGCTTTCATGCCAGATCGATGCAGTCCCATCACTATGGTCACTGCTTGCACAAGTCTGTTTTAAAAACACAAGATGTTTTTAACTGTGAATAGTTCTGAAGTGCACTTGCTTTAGCCAAATGCAACCTGTTCTCTGACATACTCTTGCACAAACAAACCAACAAGTGCATTTTTTATTTATATTTTCAGTGGATATAGCTATTGAAAGGATGGGCTTGCCAAATATTTTATGAATAAATAATATATTGAACAATAAAATGAAAATGTACAATGTTTTCAGGGTTGTCTTTGATTTCAGTCCTTCTCAATATTCTTAATATGTTTACAGCAGTGTTTTAGTTGAGTTATTTTTTAGTTTTTATTCATTTCAAATTTAGTTAGTTTAGTACATTAGTTTAGACAATGAAAATGAGAAATGTTTCCTCGGCAACTAGTTGAAATAAAGTTTCTTAAATCGTTTTTTGTATTTCATTTAATGTTTATTTTTATTTCAAGTAACAACTTTTTCATGGTTTTAATTTAACTTTATTTCACTTTATTTAGTTAACTATGATAGCCCTGGTTTACAGCCATTATTATGATGCAAAACGTTAGGTACGTGCAAAATGTTAGGACCAACATATTAAACAAACTTTTATTTTACATAGTTCTGAACTGCTTATAAACAATAGTCACAATGAAGTCCCATTAAACCACACAAAGCTTAGCCACTTCACCACATTAAGCTTTGTGCAGTCACATTTTTCTGTTACTCGTGTCACACTCTAGCAGATGATATGGTGTGAACACATTCCCCTATTAGGCTTTGTCCTACATCTAGCTTTGAGTGGCACACAAGAGATTTGAGTTGATTAATGGGCTTAAAATATACACTGATGAATACTGTAGGTCTGCTATGCTGTTATCAGCACATAATTGTATATCTCCTAGTTTTCAGTCTCCCTTTGGAGTTTTTGTCACCTTACATGGGTTTTTAGCGCAAATTAGAATTTTCTTTTGTCTTCATATACTCTAAAAATCGATTTTTTTTGCCTTATGGTTCCATGAAGAAACTTTATTATCCATTGAACCTTTCCATCACATAAAAGGTTGAAAAAGATTCTTCAGATTATTAACATGTTCTTTAGACCAAGAAAAAAATTGTTCTTTTAAGAACTGTTCACTGAAATGTTCTTTGGGGAACTCAAAAAGATTTTTCTCTGTCATCATTACAAAAACTTAGATTTTTTTTAAGAGTGTACCTTAAGAAAGTTTTATCACTTTAAATTGGAATAAGTTTTATTAAATACCTACTTACAGAAAATGCATAAACATAGATCTGTTTGTGATTAATTGGTTCAGGGTGAAAATGTAAACAAGCTATAGCCTAGTGATTTGCACATATTCAAACATATTATGGGTCTCAAGTGAGGGATGCAAGTTTTCCATTCCTGTTCTCCCTGCCATGTGCAGTCCTCCCCACATGAAAAAAAGTAATGAATTCTATTAGAACTGTAACATAAAGCACTATTACGCTCATAGTGCCCAGGTTTGAGCCTAGCCTGGGACATGTCCTGTTCACCCGTCTCTCCCTGTAAAAAAAATAAATAAATTTTGTAAATTCAAAGGTTGCCATTGCTTGCGCCTATGATTTGATGCTAAGAGATGTAGGAGCCCATAATACTGGGTAGCTCCACTAGAGGGCTCCACTAGGTGGATATTGTCTCCCAAAGCAACAAGCAGTTCTATTTCTGTTTGTCTCATTTTTAAATTAGTCTTAAATGGGTCTGATTTCCATCTTTTCTTTCTCTCTGTATCATTCTTTTTAAGTTATTCACATTTCCCAATCATCTTGTGGTGCTCTACTGTCCTTCTCCATAAGATCTAAAACTTAATAGTCCCAGTGAGCAACATGTCAGCTGTTGGCCTGAAAGGTAGGGACAGCTTGTATTTCAAGCCCTAAGTGTGGTTCATTTGTGCATTTCTATATATAGATGGACAGTCAGTAGCTGATAGCTTGTGACAGCTGAGGAGCTGAGGCCACACCAAAGTGTCATATCCTCTGCCATTTCTCTATTAGTGTAACAGTGTTAATAGAGTCAGTTCAGTTCTGCAGTGGGACAGGACCAGGGCACCCCTCCCTCCTACTGAAATATCACATTAAACCATAACAAGATGGCCTCCTTGTCAGTGGATCCAGTGACGGAGCCACGGATGTACCAGCAAACGCTCCTACAAGATGGGCTCTGCAATCTCCTGGATGTTAACAAGTTTGTGGACTGTGTTCTGAAGATCAAAGACAAAGAGTTTCCTTGCCATCGGCTAGTGCTAGCCGCTAGCAGCCCTTACTTCAAAGCCATGTTCCTTTCGGACCTGGAAGAGAGCAAAAAGTGGGAGATTGTACTAAAAGACATCAAACCTGGGGTCATGGGAATGATCCTGAGGTACATATACACCTCGGATATCAACCTGACTGAGCATAACGTCCAAGACATTTTCATGGTGGCCAACATGTACCAGATTCCATCAATCTTCAGCATGTGTGTGTCATATCTGCAGCAGAAGCTGGTTCTCAGTAACTGTCTGGCCATCTTTAGATTAGGACTGTTGCTGGACTGTCCGCGTTTGGCTATGGAGGCGCGGGACTTCATCTGTGACCGGTATGCCCTCATCACTCGGGACCAGGACATCCATCAGTTGGGTCCCGGTGAGCTGGCTGCAATCATCACATGTGACTCCCTGAATGTGGAACGAGAAGAGTTGGTGTTTGAATCTCTCATGGAGTGGGTGGAGTATGACACGAACGAGAGATTGAAGGACCTGCCACAACTTCTACACTGCGTACGTTTCCGTCTTATGCCAACAAGTTACTTTAAAGAGAAAGTCGAGGGGCACCGATTGATCAGGACGAATCAGGAGCTCAAGAAGGAGCTTCAGATTGTCAAGGATGCACAGAGAGGACTGCTACACAGGGTCAAAAGGGTCAAGAAGGAAGACGAGACGGTGGATTCTGAGCATGAGGATGAGGAGGGTTTGCTGCCGGGGATCCTAAATGACAATCCACGTTTTGGAATGTTTCAAACAGATCTTATATTGATGATTAGCGATACAGGAACGGTAGCATACGATGTTGGCACAAACGAGTGCTATGTGGCGTCTTCATCCACTGAGATCCCTAAAAACCACTGCAGTCTTGTCACGAAGGAAAATCAGATCTTTGTCGCTGGAGGTCTGATGTTCAATGAGGAGAACAAAGAACAGCAGTTCAGCTCATACTTTCTTCAGGTAACGCATAGTCAATTCTTGCTAATGTTGCTAAATATGTTTGCATTACAAATCAATGACTCAAAGCATCATGAATCTCTGGTTCCAAAAATACATTTATGAGAATGACCCTCAGGGTCCATTTAGCTTCAGAACAGCTGATAAAGCTATGAACCTCGTGTCATGTTTTTAATGTTGCCTGCATGACATTTTCCTCATGTAATTCAAGTGAAACCTTGGAAGGGATTGTGTCGAAGGAATCAAATTATTGTATTTGTCTGAGAAAGGAACAACGCTTTTGGACCGTTATCTTTTAATCTGAGCTCTGCTTCATCCAATAGTTTGATCCCATGAGCTCTGAATGGTTGGGGATGCCCTCACTACCAGACCCTCGCTGTCTGTTTGGTCTGGCTGAGGCTGAGAACTCCATCTATGTGATGGGAGGAAAAGAGCTGAAGGAGGGAGAACATGCACTCGATTCTGTTATAGTCTACGACAGACAGTGAGTACAATCATATAGCACAGGGCTGCCCAAACTCGGTCCTGGAGGGCTAGTGTTCTGCAGAGTTTAGCTCCAACTTGCCTCAACACACCTGCTAGTAAGTTTCTAGTATGCCTATAAGAGCTTGATTAGCTGGTGCAGGTGTGTCTAATTGGGGTTGGAGCTAAACTCTGCAGGACACCGGCCCTCCAGGACCGAGTTTGGGCACCCCTGATATAGCATATGACATACATTCACAGAGCTTGTTCAAACTGAAAAATGTTGGTGCGTTCATGCATGTCATGAATTCTCGGTTAACAAATTTGGTGCCATTAGTTTTATTTACAATTTTTTAACATGATGCACTATAAATGTGTTACAGATCACAGCTGTTTTCATTACGTAGTTTAGCGCGACCTGTGTAGTCTGATTCACAAACAAATTACTCTTATGAGTCTGTTCATTTAATGAATCAGCCTAAGTACGAAAGCTTGGGCAGCTGACTTGTTGCTTCACTGCCCTATCAGGCAATGACTTCACAGAAATCTGAGGCACTGTAATGAACACGATTCCATGACATTTGAGCTAAAAAATAAAATGCCGTCTGAAAGTTGCAGTTGGTGGTCAGATTGTGGGATATCACAGGCAGTGAAGAATACATCTATGTCTTCTATCTACTGTAAGTCTTATCTACTGCATCAATCAGATGAACGTATCTCAGTAGACAGGATGTGACAGTCATAGAAGTCAGCTGTGCCTTGGTGCCTTCCTCCCTCTGTATGCTGCCTGCGGAGACCTGCATTTAGCTTTTGGACATAGTCAAGAGTTACCGAATTAAATCAATCCAACAAATCCTCAACTGTGAATGAACTAAGCGAATCAGCCAGAGCCACTACTGAATCAACATTTGACTTACTTTACTGAACTAATGTTCCATATCAATAAATAATGACTTCAATACAGCCATTAGGCAGATCAATTTTACTTGATGGGCCACTTTAAAAAAATATGTTTAGAGTCATTTTGCCAATGATTTCGAAACGATTCGTTTCAAGCAAGTTCAGAGCAAACCCCTCCCTTCCATAAGCCTACTCTGCTCTGATTGGTCAGCTGGCGAGCAAAGCACCTTTACATAAAACAATAATATATTGCTCCAATCCGTTCTTATAATAATGACATAAAATACAAAAACACTTAAATCCAAGCGAATCGTGCCCACAGCTAAAGTTTAGCTGCTAAACTGTGAACACTTAAAATAATGGTGGATAAGTTAGCCGAGTGCTAACGTGACTAACTGATGAAACAATACAGTTTGTAAATCAAATATGTCTACTGTAATGTTTGAAGATCGACAGACTCTGTCTTAACTTTTAATCAGAACGCAGAACAGCTGTATCACAGGCGCACCAGCCTAACTAACCCGCTTGTCTCTATTGAGCTATTGACCCTATAGCTGCCGGTGCAGCAAAATAAACAGCAATTTCCCAATGATTATAAAGTCTGTGCTACACTACATTATTATTTAAATGAAGTAATTAGAACAATGTCAGTCTACATTAATGGACACATGCTTAGGAAATAGTGGGTTCACAGCGAATTATCAGAACTATTTCAGTAACAGTAATATTGTGCTTTACCTGGAAACCTAAAGCTGCACTAGGTATACATCACATATCAGCAGAAAAACTTGATACTTATACACATAACTTATCAATCGTACTTACACAGGTTGTGGTTCAAAACAAAAGGTTCAAATTGTATTTCTGTGGTATCCTTGAACACAGCTCTTCTCAACATGATGTAAACACACTAACTAGCAGAAGTGTTTGTGGGCAGGTCAGACTCTGTTCTTATTTCGCGGATTATGCAAATGTGTTACCCAGTGACGTATACCGGTAACAGGCAAAAGATTCGAAAATATGACGTGTCGTTAAGGCGATTCAGAATCGACTCTCTCTTTTGAAAGGAAATATCTTTTTTTATCATGCACTTTTTTGTTTTGATTGTTTTCATTTAAGGATAGCTACGTTATATGACCTGCTCTTTAATGAACTTATTGAGCCAAGGAAACTTGGTTATACAGTGGCTATAGAAAAAAATCCCCCCCCTTTAAAATAATCACATTTTGTTGCTTTGCAGCCTGAAATGAAGACAGACACCGTTTTTGATTCATCAAGCTGTATTAACTCAGTGCAACTTATAACATCCAAGTGGAAGATACAACACTAGCATGGCAGAAAAAAAAAATACAGAATCACTGAGTTGGAAAAAGGATCACGACCTTGTGTCAGTATTTTTTTAACCAACTTTTGCTTTAATTACAGCCTTTAGTCAGTGGTCTCTACTAACTTTGCACATCTAGACTTTGCAATATTTGCCCACTCTTCTTTGCAGAACTGCTCAAGTTCAGCTAAATTTGATGGAGAGCGTTTGTAGACCGCAGACTTCAAGTCATTCCTCAGATTTTCAGTGGGTTTTAAGTCTGGGCTCGGACTAGGCCATGCAAGGACATTCACCTTTTTCTCCTTCAACCATGGTGTGGTCAGTTTTGCTGTGTGCTTTGGGTCATTGTCATGTTGGAAGGTAAACCTTCTTCCCATTGACAACTTTCTAGCAGAGGGCAGCAGATTTTCCTCAAGAATTTGACGGTATTTTGCCCCATCCATTTTTCCTTCTATCCTGACAAGTGCTCCAGTCTCTGCTGCAGAGAAACACCCCCATAACAGGATATTATCAGCTCCATGCTTTACTGGAGGAATGCTGTTATTTGAATGCTGAGCTGTATTGGATTTCCACCAGACATGTTTGGTGTGGAGGACAAATAATTAAATTTTAGTCTCATCAGCATTTTGTCAAAGCTCAGTCATGACTGCATGTGGCCTTTCTTGAGGAGTGAATTTTTTCTTGCAACCCTCCCATACAAGCCACATTTGTGGAGAATTTGTGATATTGTTGTCACATGCACACAATAACCACTCTTTGCATAAATTAAGAGTTGAAAAATAGTTGCTGTCGGCCTCTTGGTCACATCTCTGACCAGTTTCCTCCTGGCTCTTTCATCCAGTTTAGAGCGACATCCTGATCCAGGGAGGGTCTGTGTTGTACCTTCCACTTCTTAATAATAGACTTCACTGTGCTTCTAGGCATTGATAAAGCCTTTAAAATATTTTTGTATCTATCTCTTGACTTGTGCCTGTCCACAACTTTATCCCAGAGATCTTTTGACAGTGTCTGGCCACCCATAGCTGGTTGTTTGTTTCAGTTGCACTACCAAGGACTGAAATGCTTCAGGAAAGCTCTTTTCATGATGAGCTAATCAAAACGACCACAGCTGAAAATCAAATGGCTTTTTGTGCCACTGAGAAGGTAATTAACTACACCTGATTGAGTTTACAAGTCATTTTTAGGAGGGGGGTGATCCTTTTTCCAACTCAGTGATTGTTTTTTTCTTTTCTTTTCTTTTTCTGACAAGTTGGTGTTACATCTTTCACTTGGATGTTATAAGCTGCACTGAGTAAATACAACCGGATAAAACAAAAACTGTGTCCGTCTTCATTTCAGGCTGCAAATCAACAAAATTTGATTATTTTAAAAGGGGTGATTCTTTTCTATACCCACTGTATATTTGAAAATAAAGTTGAAAATTGAGATTTAAATCGTGATTTGCCTGACAGGTTTGAGGAGGAGGAGAACTGTTGGAATGGGATCCTGAGAGAGATTCGTTATGCTGCAGGGGCCACGGTGCTTGGAGTACGTCTGAACACCTTGAAACTCACAAAGATGTGATCTACAGCTGTCATCTATTGACAAAATAAACAGTAAACAATGTCGCCCACATCTTCATAAAAGAGCAATACATATTCCATTGAATCAAAAAAGAAAGTCACAGACTTGGCTTGCTTAATGTTGATCTAGTTTGTGATAGATCTTAAGGTATGTAATAGAGCAGTGTTTGGTGCTGCTGTTCCAACAAAACTCAGCAGATGGAGACAAGCACAAGACCATCTATTTTTTCATAAGAATGCTTTGTTATTCATTTTGGGTAATTAGATGTTGAATAATTTGACTTATTTAAATATCCATGTACATTGATTTCTATCATTCTATTATATGTTATTTTAGATGACAACTACAATTGAACATTTTGCAATTATGACCAAGTGCAATGTTCTAACATTAAAAAAAGAGAGAAATAAATGGCAGTGACTGAACAATAACCTAATATACTGTAGACAATGACCAAACTAAAATGAAAACACAAACAACAAAACACAATTGTCTGTGGTATAAATATTGTCATACACCTTCCAAAGCCACATGAAAATAAAAATGTAAAGGTGAAACAATACAAAGACTTTATATTACGTATGCCATCTTTTTTCATGTTGATACTGCTTGACATCATGACTTTCATGATGGGTCCTAGATAGAGCTTCAGAATCACTTTTTCATCATGAATAATAAACAGTTAGCGCTGCGAACACAAACACTCTGGAATGAAGAGATCCGAACACCTCTCAGGTTTTGGAATATTGTGCATATACCAAAATATTCTTAATTACACAGACAGCAATAAAATAGGATTGTAATAGCCAATTCATAAAAAAATACCAAAAATATTGCTGTGTAAAAAACATTTACAGATCTGAAACTATAAGATTCCTGTCTTCAAGTGCAAAAATGACCAGTTAAAAACAATAAAAAATAGATTTTTAATTCAGAAGATCAAACATTAGAGTCTGCATGAGACTGTGAGAAGTGGATGAACACCAAATAGTGGAGAACAACTGATTTTTTCATTAATAATATAATACAATCTCTACTAATTCACCTGTTAAATGGCTGCTGTGGTTTTTATGACCTACAAGTTCAGCCTAAACACATTCATGAATTTGAGCATCACCAAAAACACAAACCCTCAAGGATGTGAATTTTTTAACAAAACAAATGAGCCGTATGCTTGACTCACAAATTTCCAGCTGTTGACAACATACAAATGATAGTCATTCACAATTTAGAGAAAGTTGGAGAAACAATTCACTTTGATTTTTAAGGTGCATCTGAACAAATACAACAAAACATTTCAAATTTCAAACAGAAATGATAAAACTATCACAAAATGTAAGGGCTAAACAGATGTTTATGAAACCCCTTACACCAACAAGCCAGTAAAGTGCCAGAAACAGAATCTCCAGACTGAACATTTTCACCACCAAGACTGTGTCTTGTATATATCCATATACGTATATATATCACAGGTCATCACCCCAAACACGAATAGTGCTTTTTGACAAATTTTGACCTAAAATAAAGCATCTAAACCTATAAAAACAAACCCAAAGCTATATAAACCAAATATGCTTTTTTCCATGTATTATTCTGTTAATATACTGTACATAAAAGCATATATGTCTTACATTTAATGTTCTACATCTGGGTAATAGTTTTAGTATTTTACTTAATACTTAATACTGCCTATTTAGGGATTATCATAGCATGGAGGACTCCGTCAACATTTAATATGGAAACGGAAGGGATATTAGAATGAGTATCAGAGAATATGATGTGAAAACAAAATAAGACTAACATGAAATCTCAGACTCTTTGCTACATATAAAGTATCTCTGCATCACAAAGAAACAATATTATAATACAGAGCAGTAGTTACAGGTTCCTGGAGTCTGTCCTTCCAGCGGAGTAGAGCGGCGTAAGGGAACGTAACTGAGAATGTGACGGACCCCCGTCCACTGAGTGGAGCACAGATGATGGAAAAGAGATTACACCATGCAGATGTGGGTTAATATCCCTCAAAGCTTCCATCCCAACCGGCAGTTCTTGGTTTGCAGCAGCTTCCGTTTGATTGGTTATAGCAGAGGAGCGCAGCAGTGGAGGGTTCCTGACCTGGGAACACTTCTCTCGGTGAGCTTTCAGCATGTTGGAGAAGCGGAACCGCTGGCCACATGCTTCGCAGGGGTAAGGCTTCTCTCCCGTGTGTGTACGCCGGTGCCGCTTCATATTGGGACGACTTGTGAAGCTCTTCCCACAGATCTCACATATATATGGTTTCTCTCCTAGGAAAAAAACAGCAGACCTCTTAGACTTGCTGTATAAAAGATTTCAAAGTGCTATATATGTGTACGAGCATCTCACCTGTGTGTGTCTTCATGTGCTCATCAAAATACTGTTTCATATTGAACTCCTTCCCACACCACTGACACATAAACTGCTTGTGTCCGATGTGGATGCTCATGTGAGAGCGCAGTTGGTACTTATACTGAAATCGTTCACTGCAGACCTAAATGACAAGGAGTGGACAAATTTCAAACAGGGCCAGCAATTGACTACGTGCACGGTTACTTCCTGGTTTTCGATAAGCCAGCTCAGTCATTTCCGGTCAACTGTCAAAATCAACTGTGCTATAAGTGGAACGCCCTTTGCTTGGTTTCTCTACATAATCCATTCACAAATTTAAAGAAAAGTTGTTTGTCTAAGAGGACCAAACGTCCACGTATACAGTTTCAAGAATGACAAATGCAAGTGTAAAAAATTAAGTGAGTGAATCCGATACATTGTGCCACGAGTCATTGCTATGACTGACAGTGATAAGGCAATGGACGGAAAAAAACATCTGACGAACCGCTGTCAAAAACAGCTGTGCATTAATTGATTCTGACTAAATTCAGAGTAACAAAACTACAGCAATTAGCAGCTTCTACAGTTAAAGATAAAACTTAAAAATTTTAGTTTTTGTAGTTAATGCATTATGATTAAATTGTTATACCATTAATAATTTACTTGTTTAATTTGTAGCTAACTAGTTAAGTATTTAAATAATTTACCTTTCTAGGTTGTTGGTATTTGGGCTTATTTATTTCTTTTTTAAATGGCATGAGACTTTGTGACTTCCTGCACTTGCTATACTTTATACTTCCGTACAGTAAAAGTACTAAAATTAGTTATAATAGTCATGTCATAATAAATCCAAAAAGCCAGATGTGAAAAAAACTAGGGAGTTGAAAAGGCAACTGAGCTAATGAGTGATCCTCTGCTGTCATCGACTGGTTCTAATGGTAATTTCATGTCAATTTCATCTTAAAAGTCTTTGTTTTCCTCCAGGAGAGATTTTTGGCACATTTTTTCAAATCATCTTCATGAACGAAAAGTGAATCTTTAAAGTGAATTTTATTGTACAGCTGTACAGTTGAGAAGAATGACAAATGCAAGTGTAAAATATTAAGTGAGTGAATCCGATACATTGTGCCACGAGTCATTGCTATGACTGACAGTGATAAGGCAATGGACGGAAAAAAACATCTGACGAACCGCTGTCAAAAACAGCTGTGCATTAATTGATTCTGACTAAATTCAGAGTAACAAAACTACAGCAATTAGCAGCTTCTACAGTTAAAGATAAAACTTAAAAATTTTAGTTTTTGTAGTTAATGCATTATGATTAAATTGTTATACCATTAATAATTTACTTGTTTAATTTGTAGCTAACTAGTTAAGTATTTAAATAATTTACCTTTCTAGGTTGTTGGTATTTGGGCTTATTTATTTCTTTTTTAAATGGCATGAGACTTTGTGACTTCCTGCACTTGCTATACTTTATACTTCCGTACAGTAAAAGTACTAAAATTAGTTATAATAGTCATGTCATAATAAATCCAAAAAGCCAGATGTGAAAAAAACTAGGGAGTTGAAAAGGCAACTGAGCTAATGAGTGATCCTCTGCTGTCATCGACTGGTTCTAATGGTAATTTCATGTCAATTTCATCTTAAAAGTCTTTGTTTTCCTCCAGGAGAGATTTTTGGCACATTTTTTCAAATCATCTTCATGAACGAAAAGTGAATCTTTAAAGTGAATTTTATTGTACAGCTGTACAGTTGAGAAATAAAAAAGGCTTTAAAATATTATGTGTTTAAAAATGTGTTCATGACTATGAAGACAAGTTACTGATTATCAAGAATACCATTATGATGTTACGAGATAGCATCGCTAGCTAGCGAATGTTAAACTAAACAGTTATGCTAGTGTTTAGTTGTCAGCATTTAAAGGTACAATTACTTGTCTAGGTGCTCTCCTGGGATTACCAGGCTCGGCATATAAAACTATATGTTATTAAATGAAACTTTATGTTAATGTATCATTATTTACGGTGTTGCAATTATTTTGTTTCTCAGTTTCCGACAAGAACAAAGCAGGAGAGGTTTCTGTGAGCGTCTCAAGAGTATCTATATATACCACAACATCAAATGACGCTTAACTGGAAGCTTACCAGCTGGCTTATATTTATGCGGAAGTTCTAAAGATGGCTCCGTGCAAATCACATTATAAAACACAATGTTTTGGTGCTGGATGCTGATTGGTCAATTCAGCTGTGCTAAAATATCCAACGCTTGGATGCAAAAACCCATCTTCACCCAGTTATTGTTTATATCACTATGCAGAAATAATTTATTGTTTACAGATGTTCTGATTTAATAAATTCTTATTTATGTTATATTCATATATCAGTATATTTTAACATGATTTTTTAAAATACTGTTAATAACAGTGGGCAGTGTTTCAGACTGATTCAAATTGGTAAACTCACCTATTTGACCTATTTTGTAAAAGGACGACTATTCGTTTAATTTTTGATTCTCTAAAAATAACCAGTTCATAAGATACATTTCTTCAATTAATCAGACTACACTAGTAATGTTATGTTTGTTATATTGTGCAGCCAGTGAGGACAGCTCAGTAGAAAGTTGTTTCTTGATGTTATTTTTGTGTATATACGTTTAAACAACACACACACACACACACACACACACACACACACACATATACATATATATGTGACCCTGGACCACAAAACGGACGTCTTAAGTCGCTTGGGTATATTTTTAGCAATAGCCAAAAAAACATGGGTCAAAATGATCGATTTTTCTTTTATGCCAAAAATCATGTTCCATGAAGATATTTTGTAAATTTCCTACCATAAATATATCAAAACTTAATTTTTGATTAGTAATATGCATTGCTAAGAACTTCATTTGGACAACTTTTAAGGCAATTTTCTCAGTATTTAGATTTTTTTTGGATTCCAGGTTTTCAAATAGTTGTATCTTGGCCAAATATTGTCCTATCCTAACAAACCATACATCAATGGGAAGCTTATTTATTCAGCTTGTGATGTATAAATCTCAATTTCAAAAAATTTACCCTTATGACTGGTTTTGTGGTCCAGGGTCACATATACACCGAAATAATGTCAAGAAACTACTTGTTGTTCTACTACTTGTTTATATATATATATATATATATATATATATATATATATATATATACAGTGTGCGTATGGAGGCCACTGTGCTCTTAGGAACCTTAAGTGCAGCAGAAATTTTTTTGTAACCTTGGCCATATCTGTGCCTTGCCACAATTCTGTCTCTGAGCTCTTCAGGCAGTTCCTTTGACCTCATGATTCTCATTTGCTCTGACATGCACTGTGAGCTGTAAGGTCTTATATAGACAGGTGTGTGGCTTTCCTAATCAAGTCCAATCAGTATAATCAAACACAGCTGGACTCAAATGAAGGTGTAGAACCATCTCAAGGATGATCAGAAGAAATGGACAGCACCTGAGTTAAATATATGAGTGTCACAGCAAAGGGTCTGAATACTTAGGACCATGTGATATTTAAGTTTTTCTTTTTTAATAAATCTGCAAAAATGTCAACAATTCTGTGTTTTTCTGTCAATATGGTGTGCTGTGTGGACATTAATGAGGAAAAAAATTTACTTAAATGATTTTAGCAAATGGCTGCAATTTAACAAAGAGTGAAAAATTTAAGGGGGTCTGAATACTTTCCGTACCCACTGTATATATATAAACAATGCTCAAACTATGTAGTCAGATACATTTTTAAAATATAGAGTAAAAATCATTCTTGAGATTTTATGAATCGGAATTGTTCAAATCAAGATAGCAATTATTCTGAAAAATTGTACTTTACTATTCCCTATTGTTTACTTACTGACATCAGTGACTATATCTAATAGTAAAAGAATGACACTTATTGAATTTACTTAAAATATATATTTTAAAAAAACATTGTTTTAATAAATGTTAATGTACTTTTTAAATAGTTTTTTTAATGATAATATAATGACAATAGTCACAGCTTCTTCTACTTTATTGCTTAATTTGACCATACCTCACACTGGAAAGGCTTCTCTCCTGAATGTTGGAGAGAGTGGACCTTCAGTGACATGCTCCTTTTAAAAGACTTGCCACATGTCTCACAGGTAAATGGCATCTCTTTTGTGTGGGCTGAAGATGTGCAGAACAAGACAGATTAGTCAGATAATTCAAGTTTACTGTTTAAAGTATAAGACTATGAGTAAAAGTTTGAGAGAGAAAATGGCAGTAACACAACTCACCAACCATGTGCTTGCGTACATGAGCCATTGTGTAGAATTTCTTCTCACAGATCTCACAAGTGTACTTCTTCTCAGCATAGCCATGAACAATCTTATTGTGCTCATGGAGCGACCAGAGCTTCCTGAAAGCTTTTCCACAGATTAGACACTACAAAATGAGATAAAGACCAGTAAAAGCAAATGCAATCATGTCCACTGCATTAAGTTGTATGGGTCAATTACAAATAAAAGTGTCTGCAATAAAGAAAAGGAAAAATGGGTAGCACTTTACATTAAGGTTCCATTTGTTAACTATATTCAATGCATTAACTAACAATAAGCAATACATTTGTTACAGTATTTATTCATCTTTGTTGACGGTAGTTAATAAAAATACAACTGTTCAATGTTAGTCCATGTTAGCTCTAAGGATGCATTGATCCGATACTCAGGATCGGTATCGGCTCCGATACTGGCATTTTCTGCCGATCGGGTATCGGTCAGACGAGACCGATCCAATTCCGATATTGTGCATATACTATTCTGTGTTATTGTTAAGCCCCATGAAAGCACAAAAACATTATAAAGCACCATAACGTTTTCGTGCACTGTATTTCAAGTGTTCTGAAGCCATTTCAATTTCAATCGCAATTACAATTATGGATGCCACAATTACGTAATCGTTCAAAACGGCAATTAATTGTTCAAAGTCCACTTATGTTATACTGTACACTTAAGATATGTTTTTTTCTTTCTACATGTTATCGTAAGGGTTTTTCCATTGTTTTAATTTTAGTATAACATTATAATACCATTCATATTTTTACTTTTTTTATCATTTAAAGAAGAAACCAATTTGATGTATATTTGACATTTGAGGCTTAATACTATAGAAAAGCACTAAAGGTTTTTCAGTTATAGAGTGTTTTCGGCTTGTTTATTTTCATATAAAAATACGGCATGCAGTTGCATCAAACAATGGTATAAACATCCTTCAAAGTCAATTGTGATAATCGTAATTAATAATCGCAATTACAATTTCAAGGGAATAATGGACAATTATGATTTTTGTCATAATTGTGCAGACCTAGTATAGATTAATATTTAAAGGGATAGTTCACCCAAAAATTTAAATGTGATGTTTATCTGCTTACCCCCAGGGCATCCAAGATGTAGGTGACTTTGTTTCTTCAGTAGAACACAAATGAATATTTTTATAATGGAGATGAATTGGAATCACGGCTTTGAGAATAAAAAAAAAAAAACACAAACAAAACCAAATTAAACCCTGTGGCTCGTGACGATACATTGATGTGTAAAGACACAAAACGATCGGTCTGTGCAAGAAACTGAATAGTATTTATATCGTTTTTACCTCAGACTAATAAGTGCATTACCGCCACCTATCTCTCAAATGGACCATTGACACTCCTAATTGAGATTGTAGATAGAGTGTCAATGGTCCATTTGAGAGATAGGTGGCGGTAATGCACTTATTAGTCTGCGATCCGCTGTAAAGCAAGAAGAAGAAGAAGAAGACGCCTCACAGTTCGGACATTGCGTGAATCAGAGGTAAAAAACGCCTCACGCGCCTGCTGTTGAGAATGCGCTCAGGAGGACGCGCCACCACTCAGGACAGTTCGGACATTGCGTGAATCAGAGGTAAAAAAACGATATAAATA